TGATGTGATCTTTTTAAGAATATGTGTAAAACCATCTTCTCATAATACTCTTTCCCTACTTAATTTTGCTTTCACACCTTATTTTCACAGATATATGTAAGATTAATTACAAAATAGAAAAAGGGAGAGAAAACTAATTCATTTCTCACTTCTATCAAAGTCAATCAAAATATGAAATGAATTAGAGGCTTACCAAGAATATATTTCCAGCTAACAATAGAGTTAGTTTTTCCCAATTGACCTTCATAAAATGTAAAGTTTATTATCTTATCCGGAGATATGTCGTATATTTTGTGTGGATTTGATTTGAAGTGCTCATTAAGCAAATGTTCATCACATCTCTATTTGAGAGATCAACTTACCTTTTAAACTCATTTTCTTATAAGTGAGAGTGATTTCCTAACTGGAGAAGGTTTCCAAATTTAGTGAGAGACATTCTCACCTTTATATAGAATGTAAGTTATCAATAAATAAATCATTTTGCATGATTGAACACTTTGTTAATCTAATCATCTTTATCAGGGAAAAGTCAAGTGGGACCAAGAAGGGTTTCATCCAAACTGCCTCTGATAAAAAATAAATATATGTTGTATATTTATGGTTAAAGGAATTTCTATGTATATACAATAGTTGTTGACTCTCATTCATTTTTTAGTGCATTTACCTATTCATATTTTGTACTAACTTAGTGAAATTTTTTACTATGTCATTGACGTTGACATGTCATTATTTAATACCAAAGCTTCAGACCTAATATTTTTATGAAATAGTGATAATTATTATGTACGTATAGTAAGAATTTCTTTTAGGCTTCGCTAATTAGTGGTAATATATTCAATGAAATAAGTATATGGATGGAAAGATCACAACATGATATGTGTATCCCCTGTGTATCTTTCATGTATCACTTTTTTCCCTGAATTGTGAAGAACATGGATCAGTTTGTACAGTTAAGGTGGAAAATTTATGCAAGAAATATAGGTAATGGAAATTTGAAATACATATCTCATTTTCCTCCATGTCTATTATCTAGCTACTTGAAATTTTCAATTAAAACTTTCACCAGATGATTCTGAAATTGAAATTCAAACTCTTGAAGATATTTTTCATGTTATCCAATATCATTCACTCGAAACAAATCACAATTGCACAATATAAGATTCTTTAAATATATAAGTAAGTTATAATATGAAAATAGTAGCATGTTATAATGTCCAATTATCCATGTTACCCTCTCGTTATTGATTTAACATAATTGTAATATTCTTTTTAGTCTTTAGAGAATGGTTACTCCATCTACTTCATTTATTTATCATACTTTCTCTTTTATTCCTTTTCGAATATTGTCTTCATAAAGTGCATAGTAATTCTTGATATATCTTTAATATTTTATTCATGTCTATAAGTTACTATACTAAAGATAGTAATTCATGTCTTTGAGTACTCTTTCCAACACCACCGAGTTTGCTAAATTCCGAGTGCGGATGAGGGAGATATGCCCATTTTGGTTTTTCCTTACCCCACAAAGTACACACGTTTTTTTCACCCAAATTAGGGATCAAAGCATATTAAAATCAGTTTACGCTAAAGTTTAAAAGTGTTTGGAAAGTTAGGGCAAAGTTCAAGAGGAGAAAAGGGAGAAAAACTTCAAGCATTCAAGATTTATTGCGATCTTTGAGGATTTTTGCCAAGAATTTGATTCTTTCGAGGGATGTAAGCTTTCATAGTGATGAGTTCATTCACCGTCACAACAATCATGAGTTTCCTTATTAAATTCGTCCATGAAAATCCGTGTATTGAGGTTCTTGCTGATTTCTTGAGGTTTCGTTCTTCATTCTTTATAAATGTGGTTTTGATGAGTTCTTGAGGTGAGGGTTTTGAGTTTGAGGTTTTTTCTTGAGGAGATTTGAGTAGATTTTTGTTTACTTATGTTGGGTTTACGAATCTAAGAGAGTTTGGCAGAAATCATTCAATTCTAGGTGAATTAGGGCCAAAAATCAAGAAGAAAAATTCATCGAAATTTTCTGAAAAGGGGCTGGGGCGTCACGCCCCCTATGCGCTAGCAGGGCTGTGTGGGGCGCCATCAGTGCACGAGAAACAAGCCCCAGTAATGGGAGGCCATGCGCGACGCGCCACCCGTGTGCCAAAACCGCCATGCCACTTATCTTCTTTGTTCTCGTTCCGCAGTTGTTCATTTGAGTCGAGCTTTCATTCCCTTCTTAATCTTAACTATTTAAACCTTCATTAATTATCGAGAGATCCTATATATCATGAATCATAACTCTTGAAATCACATTTCAAATTTAAAATAGAGTTAAAAGTAAAGTTCGACGGAGTCCTTTGAGTCGTTTTGAGAAGTCTTTTACAAACTTTTAAAACTTGTTTTAAGACTTGAGTACTTGACCATGAGGATGAGGAGAGTCGAGTTCATGATTCCAAAATGAATATAAGGGAACTAAGTATTCCCAAGAGTAAATGTTTTACCTTTAAAATGAGAAGAAACTTTGATTTCCAAATGAGCTCATGAGGAGTTTTGAGCACTATATCTTTTTAAAAAACCTTTTGAGTAATAATCTTAAAGTTTGAGGATGAGGAAATGTTTTTAAACATATGATCATGAGTTATATTATTGGGAGTAGTATTAACCACTGATATGGGGACGAGTTCAAACAACTCAAAATCCTCTTAAACCATGTATGCCAACATGGGTAATGTGTCATACTTTTTAGATGATTCCTTATTGCTTTTAAGCATGCTTAGTGGATCCACTTAGTTGAGGATGTCCTATACTCCGGCAATGTATAGGATAATTCTCGCAGCGTGGGAGAGACATTGTATCATCACATAGCTCATAGTGATTGTTGTCGGTAAGGGAATCTCCCAAATAAGAGTAAAAGAGTTAATTATTGTATTTTTAAATAGATTGAGTTATTATCTATTGTTTAAAAGCTTTTTTAATACTGTATCTTTATTGTTACTTTTATATCTAATTGAGTTGACTATCCTTGTGTTGAGTTGAGTTGAGTTAAGTTGAGTTGAGTTGAGATGAGGTGAGTATGTTCTTCCTTTTTATCAGTTCAAGCTTATGTCTATGATTTAGAGTTCCACTTGAATGCTCATACATTCCATATACTGATGCCATTTTGCCTGCATCTTTCATGATTAAAATACAGGAAATCACGGTCATCAACAGGCGCTCCGTTGATACCACTTGCAGTTCCAGAGTTGCTTTGGTCAGCCTCCTTGCTTCAGAGGGTTCCCCATTTACTTTCAGTCGTTTTAGGATGTCATGGTGCATGTCCCTACTTCCATCATAGTTGTTTGAGACTTCATAGACAATATTATTTTGAGAAGTTTGTTTCATTTTCAATTGTTAATGTTTAAGACTTGAGTTGCCTCTTTTGGCAATTTGAATGTTTTTAAATGTTTTGAGTTAATTATTTTGAGAAACCTTTACTTTTGAATTCATATATTGTTGAATAAGTCTTCCGCTGAATATTGAGCTAGGCAAAGGGTTCGCTTGGGGACCAACAATGGTTCTCGAGTACCAGTTACATCCAAGGTGTAGGCTCGGGGCTTGACAAACTTGGTATCAAACCACGGTTCAAGAGTCCTAGGGTGTCTATGAGGTCGTGTCTGTAGAGTCCTGGTTATCAATGTGAAGTGTCACACCCCGAGACTACACCCTGGGCGGGACTGGCACTCGAGAACCATTGATGGCCCCAAGCGAACCCTTGGCCTGGCTTACTTACTCAGTGAAAGACTTAACTCAACAAAGATAAATCTATGTATTAAACTGGAATGTTATCAAGGAACATTCAACTGGCCATTAAGGCAAACATAAGTCTCAACATAAGATAATGACAATGAAAGGACTAAACAACTAACATATGACTATATATGAAGCCTCTAAAACAACTGAGATGGATGTCGGTACAAGACCTACGACATCCTAATGAACTAATAATAAAACTCAATGCATTAAAAGGGATCCTCTGAAAAGCAAAGAGGCTCACCACAAGACTCTGAGTGCTCAACTAGATCAACGATGCGTTGGATGTTGATCCTAGTTACATGTGTTTGCATCATAAAAAGATACAGGCCAAATGGCATCAGTACATTGAATGTACGAGTATGCCATGGAAATTCTAAAACAAGACATAATCACTACAACAAATTTGATTATCAGGACGAATAATTTCGTCATCTATAAATCGTATTTCGTCACTAAAAATCTTGTATGACGAAAAAAATTTCGTCAATCAATCGTCACTAAACGTGCGTCACTAAAAGTATACAAAGACGATTTAGTGCTTCGTCGCTAAAGGTATTATATTAACTACAGAAAAGAAAAATCATCCCCAAATGAATAAACATTTGTGACGAATATATTTGTGATAAAAAAATAATTTTTTTGTACTTAATAGTATGTTTTGTCACTAAAAAAGTTATTACTATCGACAAAATTATATCGTCATTAATTATTTAGGTTAATCAATGACGACATCAATTGTCTCTAAAGTGATATATATTTCGTAGTTGAATAAATGTAATATCATCACTAATGACTATTTTTTATATACAAAAAATCATTTTGTCCTTAAATGTAGAAATTAGGGACAAATTTATTATTATAAAGAAGGTTGATAATTTTGTGGTTAAATCTATCATTTTGTCACTAAAAATAATGTTTTTACCGACACCATGTATTGTCACAATAAATTATCATTAGTGACAATTACAATTGTCATAAAATAAAAAAATAATTTGTATTCAATAAATAAGAGGAAATTGGTCACTAAATGGCGAATTTATTTATTTCGTGACAAAAATATTTGTCTTAAAAAGTTTGATTTAATCGTTGCTAAAAGTTACCTTTAATGACGAAATCTTTTGTCACCAATTGCATTCATTGATGACATTTAATTATTTTATATCAATGTTATTTTTTAAATTATAGAGTTGCATAAATCTAAAATTAAATAAGAAAACATGCTAGATAATAATGAAATCCACCCATGATCATACAATTGAAAACGAGTAAAATATATGAAGGTAATATGTCATTACAAGCTCCTTAAATTAAAATAAAATAAGTCCAATAACAAGCAAATCTAACTGAACTAGAAGAAATATTACTCCTAAACTGAGACTGAAAAGTAGAAGTTTCTTCCAAAGTACCAATAATGTGGTGATACTTAGTTTGCATTAGTCTTGATTCAATTCTCACCTTTTATACCTGTGTAAAAAAGAGAATACAAATTTATAAGATTTAATATAGAGTAGAATCTGCAACATTACATTATGTTTTTCATACATTGTAATGCCAAGTTTCTGCAAAGATAAATCAATCATGCATAATATGAAGCTACACATATATACGAACTATATCCCCACTGCTATTTGTGGTGTGCATGAAGTACTTCACAAGGCGTTGATGCTATGGGTGGCTGAAACTGAAACACTTTTGTTTTGCAAATAAACATGCTCATATTTTGCAAAGGGAATATAACATGTGTTAATGCTAATAAGATAAGGAATAAAAACATTCTCAGAGGTCACATGGCTCACTACAAATGCTACAAAGTTTAATGTTTATACTTCCATCATGGGAAAACAAGAGGTAAATGATATATGTTAATTGTCTGAATACGCCAGAGGTAACCACCAATTAAATACCTGGGCGGCACCATCACTTCTAGAACACTAAATGTTGTAGATTGCGATGTGTTATTAGGAAAAATGACAGCCAAGGTGAAAATGTGAGGCTCGAGGAACCTGTGTTTCACTAGTAGGCTTCAACTGGTCAATACCATGCTGCTGCATATACATGTATACTGGTCTATTATTTTTTCACTGCCTAAACAAGTGCTGAAAGATAAAAAGCTGTTTGCAGGAAAAATACACTCCAACAAACAAAATTCATGGGCTGAACTGATCACAATAAGTAACTTTCAAATAATTTTCTTCAATCTATGCCTAAAATATCAAGCAATGTCCTCACATTAAGTCACCAATCCTTCAATACTTAGGGGTTCAAAGAATAAAATAAATTGCAATCCATAAAGTCATCAGATACCAAGCAAATAATCAGATTTCACCAACCAAAAGGTTTTTTAAGCTTATTTATATCATATCCATAGTTTTCCTTCCACAACCTCCATAAGAAACTGATTTTCAAACATTGAAACAAATTAAAAACCAGAAATAAGCAATTCTTATCAATTTAGGAAGACGAAATCTGAAAGGTAGGTCGAAACAAATTGAGTAATATGCAGCAGAATTGGCGATAAGGGTATTCCCAATTTTCTGGAAAATGGGATAGAATTACAATGGAATTGTGAATAAGAAATATTACAGGAATGGCAAATTATAGATTTTCAGAATTTGAATTTGGTAACTTATCAGAATTTCTCCTTTCATGGGATATAGTATGCAAGCGAAAAAGAAAAGGATGACTTGGGATCACTAATTGTGTGTTATGGAATGAAGCTGCAACAGGAAAGTATGTCTGGAATATAGCCAACAAAGTTGATAACCTATGAGTAAAATGAATAACAATGTGTATAAAGGGGGCTGACTGATGGGAATATACACCCAAATAAGACAATTGCTGGTACTAGAAGAAGATTTGAGGTATGAAGAACAAATGTAGTGTTGGATACTGTGGAAATGGATGATTCAAGGCATGAGGAAAATACACAATTATAAAATAACAATTATTTTGGACTATCTATTTTTAGTAAATTCGACAAGTAAAGTGGTTCGGAGGGAGTATCTTTTCTTAAATGTCAGCATAGTATTTAATTTATGAATGTGTGTTGCAGGCAATGTGGGAAACCATTCAAGCCAGAGAAAACTTCATGCCCACATGAAGTCCTACAAAGGGATGAAAGCTCTGTGAAAGGGTGCTCATTCTGCTGCTGCTACTAACAAGACATCCAAGGATGCACCAATATGGGCAATCCTGACAGCTACAATATCACACATATCGGAAGCTAGGAATGAAGCATTATGGAAACATAACACCTTACTGAAGTATTTCAATAAGCATAACACATTACTGATTCTTTCTAAAGCCCGGACAATCACCTGCCAAATTCTACGACTGTATTTCTTGAACTTCTTTAACATCTCTCCCTAACACATTCCTCACCTCATGCAACGTGGATCTATACTGATCTTCATCATTCCCTTAAATCCACCTCTTCTTTTCCCAAGTTATTATGTTTCTAGTACTTATTGTAAATCATACCAGCTAAAGTAAGCTTAAGAGTTATATGAGTCTTACCTTTTACTAAATAAATAGGAAAATACACAACACCTTCTGTCTAGAAAGTATGAAAGCTGGAATAGATTTTAGGAGTAAGAGGAAGCAGAAAAGAGAAAAAAAAGGACAAAAAGTTGAAAATTGGTTGAACTTCTGAGCACAATGAACTTTTTCCTCATCAGAATGGTATTTCATTTGATTCAAATTATGTGTCTTACTTTTCTTTTTGATTGTTTCAAACGGAGCTTTGTTGAAAAGAAACTATGTTGCTTCTATGTGGTACTGGAATTCCTTAATACTACAAATCTTTCATATCAAGAATTAAGAAAATTTAGACCAAACCATCACTGAATGACTAAATACACCATAAGCAAGGAGTAAGACACTGAGAAGGATAATAATTGTAGTTTTACAAGTTTATATCCTACTCCCATGGTCTTAAAATCTACAAATTTTGTGATAAGAAGGAATTTTCTCTTTATCAATCATAGGTATTGGCAATGATTCCCCTCTATAAGGTAGTATAGCATTTTCTACACTCTATCTAATAAGCTTAGGAAGCAGCTAAAGTGTAACATGTTTCATACTAACTTTTTTATGAGGTAAGGTATTAACTAATATATCATGGTATAAATAAAACATAATAGGTATAAACTATAACTTATTAAACATGGACTTTAAGTTGGAGAAATAAAAATAAAAATATACCTTAAGTTGACATTTTGATGGATCTCAATCTTTGCTGAATCATGAAGAAAAATATGCAAAGTTAGATACTGAATGCTACATATTTATATATTTAATATAAAAAAATTAAAAAATACTTATCATATAAGTTTGAGTTACTTCTAACCTTGGTGGCGATGAGCGAGAAAGAAGTTGCATTTTTCTAAACATTTCCTCTTGGCGTGCCACTATAGTATTCAATTGAGAATTTAATGATTGTATTTGAGATTGCTGGTCTTGTATTTGAGATTGTTGGTCTTCTATTTGAGACTGCTGATTATCTACCACAGTTTCAGCTGCATTTAATCAATTCTGTAATTCAAGCTGGGCACTAACAGCTTCCTGTTTTGCCTTTTTGAGGGAGTCTTCTAACTCTGCCGTTCTCCTTTGTGTAGATCTTGTAGTATTAGGTTTTGGGCCATAACCAAGTCCTTTTATGTACCCCGACTTTGTACCAAGTATAGTATCCACAATTTCATCAATAGTCATGGAAGACTCTCCCGATGTATATAGATCTTTCAAATCTGTCATGTTGTTCTGCATAAACATATTAAAATTATTTAAAGGAGAATGCAGAACTTTTGAAAAACATTAATCTGACAAATCCAATGAGAATGTTGTAAAAGATGAAAAGTAATTTCTTACATAGTGAGTCTCAGCCTCTAAAGATGACCATCCTTTCTCACTCGTGTAATGAGTATGCTTATAGAACTCGATTCTGTCAGGCTCTACTCCTTCAGGGTTAGTTTTACCCTGTGAAATAAGAAACAATTGAAATAATACTAAAGTTTCATTAGTCAAAACAATAAAAATGGTATTACTTACAAGTTCAGCACGAGCCGCTACAAACGCTTTTGATCCCATGAAATGATTACACTTAAGCTTAGTTCGATTGGCCTTGTTTATGTTCGCATCGTTTCTACAAAGAAAATACAAAATACTGTAACTTAAATAACAACGAGAATAATATCAATATAAATTACCTTATGCTCTGGTTGATCCACATGTCACAAAGCCTAATTCCAATTTTCTGGGGTCAACTCTGGCACTTCAATCTTACGAGCTTCTTCCTCAGAGCGTGCTATTTTCAAATAGTTTGTTTTAACTTGTAGCGCCATTGTCGGCTTCTGTTTTTCAGAATATCCTCACAACTATCTTTCACGTAATGCTCATCCAAATTAATCTCAAACCTCTACCTAAAAATCAAATAAGTATTAAAGAAAAACACAGAATGAGCAAAATCCCTTTCATATTAAATAATAATCATTACATTTGCAAACATACTAATTAACTTCAAAGTTCAAACTTGAGTACCCATTGTGAATCATATATTGCAGTTCAAGAACTGTATTTACTCTCATAAACAGTGTTCTTGACAACCGAGCTACATACATAATATCACTCTTTTCTATTTCCAGTAAGGTAATGTCACGAATTGATAAGTTAAGGATAGACTTTATATGACAAGGAAATAACAAAAATCATGTATTTCATCTTCTCAAGATCATTATTCCAAATACATTGAAGGCTTAGGTATTAGGAACCTGACAGGACATAATAGAATCTGCTAATGAAATGGCTATGGAGGTTCAATAATTAAGATGGTGCTTTCTGAAAAGAAATGTTATTTTGTAAAAAATGAAATACTATCACACTTGTCCATTGTTGTATCATAGCTCCATATGTTTTTGGTACATGGAAGATCATGTCAAAACTAAGGAATTAATTTAACCAGCAATGCAGCTGAAAATCAAGTAATGACATTCACTTTAAATATTGGGAGGATAAATGATCAAAGAACACTACTCTCCTAAGTGACTTCCCTACTCTATTCTCAATAGCCTCTGATCCAAACTCTATTATCTCCTAGAACAGAGAAAATAAATACATGGATGCAATTGTCCAGAACAATTTTTCATGATTGAAAGTTGCTACTATTACTATCAAAGCTGGAATGTTGCCCTCAAAATAATCACAGGCCAAATAAAATCAAATGGTATAGGAAGACAGATGGACAATACACAGTGATGAAAGCAAGGAATCTTCATTATGTGCTCGAAATGATATAATAGATAACTGCCTTGAAAACTCATTTGGAAGACCAAAGCCTCTAGTCATATTTCATCTGAATAGTCCCTCATGAGGCCAGTTTCACTCAGGACAACCTGAGGTGAAGGGGCATGACAACAGTTAATGAATGTTTCATGTGTCAAGAAGTTTATGAGACTAACAGACACCTATTCCTTCATTGTCCAGTGACTGCTAATTTTTTAAATTTATTTTTTACTATTTTTTATTTGAGTTGAGTCATGCCTGCTGATTTAAAGGATGGCTACAATAGTTAGAACTCTTAAAAAGTTGATAGATCCAAAAGTTTGGAAATTGATCCTTGTATTTTTTGGTGTGTACGGAAAGTGAGAAACAAAAGGTTCTTTAATGGAATATCAACTTCAATCTACAACTTAAGATTAATTATGTTTTAACTTTATATTGTTAGGCTATGGTTAGATCCGTTAGACTCTAATGTCAATCTTTTGGACTTTGTAAACTCTTTAGTCCTAGCATAGGATACTTTTAAATGAGCTTACAATCTCACTACTTGTGTATCTATATTACTTGAATCTTTTTTATGCCATTTATCCCATTTCTTACTTTATCAAGAAAATGTAGTTCATTTCTGTGTACTCTTGAGCCATATGAAATAAGATTTTACACTAATAAAGAGTGTCGAAGCAAGCATCAAAATGGTCTAAGGAGTTGAAGTAGGCACAAACAAATGCTTAAGGCAAAACCTCTACAGTTGCAAACTATAGAAGTATTGATCCTCCAGTTGATATCTTCTTTAGATGACCCCTTAGAAAAATTTTAAGAAGGAAGCTTGAATGATTGTATACAACTAGTTGTTTTTTTCCATATCAAGTAGTGGATATGATGCATAGATAGTTTATTTTCTAGTTTGTTAGTTATGGTATCAAGTAGTGGATCTGATGCATAGATAGTTTATTTTCTAGTTTGTTAGTTATTCGTAATAAAATTCTTGTTAATTATTTTTTTTATAAAAACAGGAAATAAGACAAAAGAGACCATTAGTTAACTTACTATTAGATATCAACGGAGATACATATCGCTGAGTAGTTCTCCAAAAAAATAAGATGAATGAAAAATAGCAGTACCCAAAAAAAGAACTCAATTTAATCACTACCATGAAATAAATTTACAAGAGTATAGAATCCTTACATGGCATCTAATTAGTGCTGCATCTTTGTCCTCTCTTGTGAGTTCTTTCCACTTGTTTGGAAGCAAAAGAAAATTCCGAGCAATTATCCCTAGCTCATTGGATAGTTTTGCCGATTGATCTGGTTTAGTTGGCCTTCCTTTACCAACTGGGATCTCTATTTTCATCTTTCTTCCTTGAGCCTTCTTCATTTTTTCAAGACCTTTCCCTCTAGTCTTGCCGCGACCATTCCTGATTCTAGTGGAATCATCTGATGTAAAAAGTCAGTTCCAAAAAACAATCTATAATCTTAAAAACTTACACGTATGACAGTAAGGCACATGATGAAAACTAAAACAACTGCATTTTTTTAATTTATTGTATATTAATGAGCAATTGAGTCAAAAAATTCACCGATAAAACAAAGAGAACATACAAGAGCTAACAACATCTATTTTGATCATTTCTCTCATGTTTGCTGATTATATGTTCACCCATATTACATAAATGTTGCTGGATTTCAAAGATATTACAACAACTATATATTCATAAAAAGGTTCAAATTGTGCATATTGATAGAGTAGGTAACTTTACATACCTAATTTTTATGCCATGATGAGCAAAGGCGAGTTAGCCAAACATAAACCAAGTCTAAATAGTATAAGGTATCATGAAGAAATGCTTACATGTAATCTATGGCAGCATTTTCAACTTCTTAGAGTCAATTTGTGTAGCTTATATAGCATATTGATAAAGCAAAATCAATTGCAATTGCTCATACAAACAACCAATGACTTTCATGTTATGAAAAATGCACCTAAGATTATGGATGATGTGATGAAACACTTCTTTTAAAATGTTAAAATATCATAGATAACTTCAAGATTTAAATCCACAAATCTTGAGTTAATGATTGAATTACAAAAATAACAGCCAAGATCATCATAAGAATCATTCGAGTAACTCGGAAGTACATGTAAAAGAGGAGATTAAATTACAGAATATAATAGAAAGGACAAAATAAACCTGCATACAATAGCTCAATATCAGATACTCAGATATTGAGCTATCGTCCACAGGGGCGGATCTACGTTCAATGAAGGGGGTTCATCCGAACCCCCTTCGTCGAAAAATTACACTATATATATAAGATTAAATTTTGAATATATGTGTATATATATACTATTGAACCCCCTGAAATACACCAAAGGCGTAGCTCAGTGGCGTTGGGGGTTCAGGAATTTGCTCTACTGCACGCGAGGTCGCGTGTTCGAATCCGAGCAGAGGCATTTTGTTTTATCAGCTTATTTCAGGCGTTTTATTTTTTTAAAATAAATA